TCAGAACCACTTGCAGAATTGAGTGATAATGATTCGTGGGGAAATTCGGCATCAGACACTGAAAACGATTTTGCAACTTTGCTCAGCGATGTGCGAACTTGGCGCTATATTTCAAATTTCAGTGTTTTTGGTTTGATTATATTATTGAATTAAATTTATTATTATTATATTATTATTTTTTTATGATTATTTATTAAATTATAATTTATGATTTTGTGTTTCAAGTTTTATCATATTCGGAATGTTTACTAGACTCTTGTTCGGACAGATTTCAGTGAGTTATTCCTAATTTACAGGCCTACAATAAAAAAAAATACATATTTCCATGCAAAAAAATGGTACCGCTTTCAGCACCAAAAATCTGAAATAATCATACCGCTAGGGAGGTTAACTGACAATTGCGCGGTGATGCTGCACCCAAATTAAATTTATGTCCTTTTTACCCACCAATAGAGCTTTCTTTCGGTGGTATTTGGTTACCTCTGCATTTTTTATTTTTTGTGCTATAAACAAAAAAAGACCAACAAATTTGCTATAAAAAAAAATAAATTTAGGCCAAAATGTATTCTGCTACATGTCTTTGCTAAAAAAAAGCCCAATAATTGTATATTAATTGGTTTTTACGTGAAAGTTATGGTGTCTACAAATGGCGGGTATATATACTTGATTTTTTTTTTTTTAAATACTAGTTATGGCAGCGATCAGCGACTTATAGCGGGACTGCGTGACCCGGCCGGCATTCTGACACTGGATGGGAACTGACTAACTGCCACTGACATCCCCAGTGACACTAATACAGTGATCAGTGCTAATAAAAAGCACTGACACTATACTAATGACACTGGGCAGGAAGGAGTTAACATCTGGGGTGATCAAAGGGTTAACTGTGTGTTTGTTTGCATTGTGTGCTATGTGTGTTTTACTAGGGAGACATTCTGCTTTGTATCTCTCTGCTCTGCTGTGCAGAGAGATACAAAACAGCATGTCCATGCTGACAGGAGAGAAATATGTGTTGCCGACGATCACCGAGTGTTGGCCGGGAATCGCCGACTGGGACCCGGTGATTAACATTAGCCGCCCCTACCTGGAAATGCAAATCACGTATATATATACGTGATTTTGTGCAGCCATGCTGCGCTGTAGCATTACTTCTGCTATAGGGCGCATGGCAAGTGGTTAAAGAGAATTATGATTGGTTAAACTAAGTGCTTTTTTCTTTTTCACACACTACTATACCTTTATATTGACTTTTGACATATACAAATGCGGCATTTTAGAACCTGGATGGAAGCTTTAACACTGTAAAACACTTTTTGTTAAATAGTGCATTTTATATACAACTATATAGATTAGGCTAAAATGAGGGACAAATGTGAAGGAAGGAGGGACAGAGGGATTTTGTTCCAAATGAGGGACAGTCCCTTGAAATCATGAACATTTGGGAGCTATGCACAGTCCTGGTAGAGTCCATTAACCAATCCTCTTTGCGTACAGGTTTGCATACAGGTGTTTGATTGGGGATTCCTGGACTATCTTTTTGACAGCTTGAGGCTTTTTTTCTTGGAGATTTCAGAGTTATGCACATTGCACAGGCATGGTTCATCTATTAGGAAGATGGGCCAGAAAAATTAAGTTCAGAGAGTGCATATAAACAGGATGTGGCCGAAAGAAGTTGCAGGAGATCAGCAGAAATAACATAGTGTAAAAAAAAAATCAAATAAATAATAATGTTAAAAATCCCCAAATAATTATTATTAAATAAAATATAAAATAATAAACAAATCAATACTTTATATATAATATGTATGTAATTAATACAAATGTGTACACAAATGGAAAAAAGTGAAAACAAGTATTTATGAAAGCAGAAAAAATACTATTGTTTATGACACACATTGCTTTGCAAACTAAATGTTGTTCAGTTAGGGTTTACATCTACTTTAAGAGAATGGAGTAATAAGTGAAACGATCACAAGAAAAATCACAATTTGTTATATAAAGTGAGACTTCTCTTTATTTTTAAACTATCTATATATATATATATATATATATATATATATATATATATATATATACACATTCATTGTTTTTTATTGACAGTATAAAACCACAAATTAGTGCTGCTTTGTATTTAATGCAACAATAAAAGTGTCATGTGTCTGGTGGAGACCAAGCTGAAGCCCTCTTGTCCAACACCCCAAGAAGCAGTGACAGGGAATGTGGGGGCACAAATTAACACAAGGGCCGATGTAGTACTGGTGTCCTGTATTGGAGACACTAGTGATCAGAGTGGGGCATTTTGTGCTGGGGAGACTGGGGCAATACGGCATTGTTGACCCCAAAATGGAAATGCAAAGGAGATGAGCATACTAGTAGGAAAATCAGGGGATTCGCAGTCATGTAAGTGAATAGAGCCGGTGACACCACTGAGTGTTAAAGTGGAACTAAACTTCCAGAAATACTACCTCCACCTTCCACCCCTTGCTGGCCCCTGTCATTTTCTTGTCATTTTCTCCCATGTTCCGGGTTTTGGCCTGTTGATTTTCTGATGCGGTAATGATGTCAAATCGCACATGTACATGGGAGTCAGTCATTCTGGCCTAGCCAGAGTGTGTGGGGAATGCACTCTGAGCCGCGTGTGTGGCTGCTCTTCAACAGAAGACCAAGAGCAGGCAGGTAAGTTTTTGTTACTGCAGAAGATACATAGCATGTCTCTTCTGCAATAATGAGCTGCCTGCTTACAGTTTTTCTTCTACTTAAGTTTAGTTCCACTTTAAGGGTTCAGAGGTGCCTGTACCTGCTGGCGTCCCTAACAAACGTTGACATTTAGAAGCTGTCGTGTATAATCGCTCTAGAACAGCCAAGGACAGCTATGAACCTATGTTCTGAGCAAACCTAAAGTTCACCCCTATGGCTGTTTTGGGGCTCAACAGACCCATGGTAGATGAAAAGAGCCTCTGTTCCAGCCAGGTTACTTGTTACTACACTCCTCAAACCAAGTCTTTATGGAGCTGGTTTTGGGGGTACATTGGTGCTGGTACAGAAAATGGCCTTCACCAAACTGTCTCCACAAGGTTGGAAATGCTCGTGTCTAAAATGTTCTTGTGTTCTGTAGCATGGACATTACCCCTCACTGGAAACACCTATACTAAAAATATTTAATGGAGTGTCCGCCATATATGTTTTGGCCATATAGCATAGAAGTGATTGTTAGGTATTACTTGTTACTACACTCCTCAAACCAAGTCTTTATGGAGCTGGTTTTGGGTGTACAATGGTGCTAGTACAGTAAATGGTCTTCACCAAAATGTCTCCGCAAGGTTGGAAATGCGCAAGTGTCTAAAATGTTCTTGTGTTCTGTAGCATGGCATTACCCCTCACTGGAAACACCTATTCTAAATATTTAATGGAGTGTCCACCATATATGTTTTGGCCATACAGCGTAGATGTGATGGTTAGGTATTACTTGTTACTGCACACCTCAAACCAAGTCTTTATGGAGCTGGTTTTGGGTGTACAATGGTGCTAGTACAGAAAATGGCCTTCACCAAACTGTGTAGCGTAGACGTGATGGTTAGGTATCTACAAACAATTGGTCATATGGTGTATACAGTAAATAAAGATAACTGAAGTCTGTTAATAGAATAGGAAAATAAAATATACACAACATTATTGAGATCTCAGCTTTCATGTTATTTTAGTTTGAAACGTATTGACTATCCTGTGCATTTAGCAACTATTTTTCTATCAACAATGTTAGCCTTCCATAATTCCTTTAAAAAATGTGCCACCCAGCAGTGCAACATAAAACCGTGCCCTGACATGCTGACTTGCAATCATTGCTACGTTCTTTATATATACCCAACGCTGCTTGTGACTGCTAAGAGTAACTGTTTCAGAGGAAGACCTCCTTCTTTCCAGCTAGTTGGGGGTGGGAGAGCCTGGGCCAAAAATAATCAGTCTCTGAGATTTCTTTTTAGATGCCTGTAGTGATGCAAAATGGTTTCAGAATATGTTTTTCTGATTTTGGAAGTTATTGTTAAAGTCCTCATTCACCCGTTTTACATTTGTACCCATAACACACAATATATACTTCATTTTCTTAGTTATATTTAAAGCTGAGCACCAGGTAGAGAATAAAAGATCACCATTAATTCTGGTATGCATTTAAGAAATATTCTTTGATGTTAAGTCATAAAGTAACAGTAATAGTAACATCAAAAACCTGTACTTGACTTCGGAGTTAAAGAGGACCTTCACCCCAAAAAACGTGTTTTCCTCCCCTCAGCCTCTAAATTGTTGTTTTTTTTCCTGGGGAGTGGGTATATATGTTTTTTTTTTTACAATTCAGACTCCCACTTCTTCAATCCTCACCTAGACAAGGAGGATGTCACCTTGGCCACAAACATTACATGCGGCTAACAGCAGCTACAAATAGCAATATTAACTCCATCCCTTCTCCACACAGGAAGGTTGATGCCTATGCAAAAACAGGGTGACAATGCATACACAATTTAATTGTGAAAATTGTTATACTACTCTAAGACATTCATCTAACCCAGGGGCGGACTGACAACTCATGGGGCCCCAGGGCAATAGGGGATTATGGGGCCCCTGTGTCTTTGCCCACACTCAAAAAATCCTATAAAAAAGGTACCAGGGGCTTTTCATGGGGCCCCCTACTGACCCCGGGCCCTCGGGCAGTGCCCAAGTGCTTGAATGGCCAGTCTGCCCCTGATCTAACCTATAAAATAATACATTTGTAATTCTGTCAAGCCAAGTGTTACGAAACCCAAGACCCCGCATTCACTATATCTGGTCTCCCACAGTACACAGAACATGGAAGTGCAATTATTTTAGTAAATTTAACCTGCTAAATACCTTTTCTCATCAGCAGTATATAGCAGTCTCGTAACATCTATCAGTGTCCAGCAGAGCACTGGTTCATCTTGTAGGAGGAGTTTTCATTCTCATCTGACTGTCCTGTGAGGCTTTATGACCCTCTGTCTGGACAGTGCTGATTGGCCTTGTGCTGATCACATGCACCCTCCAAAAGAAAAAAAACTCTGTAGCAATACACATTAAACTGAGCATGTGCAGAATGACCCCTATATCTCTGTACTATCAGCAGATGAATTGGGGACAGTAGAAGGGGAGGATCAGGGAAGACAGGATCAAACATCATTTTTACACGATGCTGAGGATTAACCCCTTAGGATCCACAGTGAGTATAACAAGCATGCTTTACTGCATATACAGACTGATTTTATTGTTCTGGGTTTAGTAACACAAGAAAAAAAAGCACTTGTAGGTTAATTGTTGGCAGTATTAATTTCTTAATAGTCTTTGTTACTGGGCGTGGGAGGTTTTATTCTTTGCCCCCATACTGTGTGCTAGATTGTGCCTTTATCGCTCATCTCTATTAAGTTTACAGTAGAGGTAAGCCACTTTTGCTGTGCCATTTTGGCTATCCCACCGTCCTTACATTTAGTTCTTGGAATGGATGATCTGTGCACAGAAACATACATAAATATATCTATGCATAAATTGCAGACTATTCACTGCAAAGTAGTAAAAAGACTCAGCAGGTGGTGGGGAAGTGGCTCTGTTGCACTTCCTGTTAGTACTGTGTTTTATATATGAATCATGTGTATGCATTTATCATTTATTAACGTAAAAAAGGAATAATTTTTGTTTTTGAAGTTCAGGACTGAAAATTATTAATGAATAACTAAAATGCATACAATGCAGTATTAATTGGCTTTATAGCTGAACTCATGAAAAAAGTAGAAAAAAATGAAAAACCTGGCAATAACGAAAAAAACAGCTTTTGCTGCAATATTCACCTTTAGGCCTCGTTCACATGGTGTGTACTAAAGCCTACGCCCATGGGGGCCCATGTGTACCCGCAGGTGTTCCATGTATCCCCGTGCAGGCAGTCCCATTGTTGTCAATTGGGATGCAGCAGCTGCACGTGCACGAACGCTGCTCCCAATCTGACATTCTCAGGGTGTATGGCCAGGATGTAGACAGCGTGTGTTCAGGCCATGCACCGGCATCTGTATTCGTGTCAGCTTGGGGGCAGCGTCTGTGTCTGTGCAGCCACTGCATCCCAATGGAAATCAATGGGACTGCCTGTATGGAGATGCTAGCTCCATGTGAACGAGGCCTAAAAGAGCTCACTCCCTGTACTTTTCCTCTACTAGGTGTCCTCAGCAGGGGCGGACTGACCATTTGGAAACTCGGGCACTGCCCGAGGGCCCGGGTCAGTAGGGGGCCCCATGAGATGCCCTTGGTACCTTTTTCATAGGCTTTTTCGAGTTTGGGCAAGGACACAGGGGCCCCATGATCCCCTATTGCCCAGGGGCCCCATGAGTTGTCAGTCCGCCCCTGGTCCTCAGTATTTCTGGTATTCAAGACACTTCCTTCCACTCCCAACGCAAGAGGAAGGAGCTGTGACTTCAACAGCTAGAAGACCCATGGAAAAAGGTGTGTGTGTGTTTTTAAATTTGGAGAGTGAAGAGAGGGTGTTTATTTAATGAGACTTCAGCTTTCTACAAGTCAAAATTCATTGTCTAACGTGGCATCGACCAAAGCTAATCACTGACTGAACACTAAATGTTAAAAAACATTTTTTACAGTACTTCTAAATTGCCTTCGTAAATAACCTTTTCCCTTTACTCAAACTTCTATGGCATTTAGTGAACAATTCCATATAATGTAAAAGCAAAAAAAAAACAAACAAACAAACATAAAAACATAATGAACTGTGCTTGTGCTGCCAGAAATATAATTACATTCATTTCATTTGGCAGAGCTGTGTAAGGCCAAATAAAATATTAACACCCCCTATTATTTGATTCCCTATTTCCCATATGTCAAATTACACATTAGGTGCATTGATTGCGCCCTTTAAATAAGCAGTTTGCCCGATCACACTCTGATTAAAGAAGTAACGAGCCAGTTAAGTTAAAGTGCTTGCTCGCTGTTTGTTAATTCAGTTTTGTTCAAGGTACTGCTGCCTATTACTGTGGTCCAAAAATAGTCAATTTGATGGCATTTAAAAAAAAAATATTTGTGTATATACATATATATATATATATATATATATATGCATATACACACACAGTATATATATATATATATATATATATATATATATACACATTACATAGTTGCATAGGTAGTCTGGCTGAAAAAAGACAAAAGTCCATTCAGTTAAAATATAAAAAAAAAAGTTATAATCCTATACCCACAGTTGATCCAGAGGAAGGCAAAAAAAACCCCAGCAAAGCACGATCCAATTTGCTAATGATTTGTACCGGGGTAATATGATATCTCTCTCTCTGGAGTTTATACCTCTATTAATACAAGAGAGGATTTTGCTCGCTTTAGAAACTGCGGCCTGGCATTGCATGCCATTATTAAGCTTGTGATCTACCAAAACTCCCAGATCCTTCTCCACCATTGATTCCCCCAGTTGTACCCCCCCTAGTATGTATGATGCATGTATATTTTTAGCCCCCAAGTGCAGAACCTTACATTTATCAACATTAAACCTCATTTGCCACATAGTTGCCCAATTACACAGTGCATTGAGGTCGGCTTGTAAGTTGGAGACATCCTGTAAGGACGTTATTCCACTGCACAGCTTGGTGTCATCTGCAAAGACTGAAATGGGATTTTTATCTCAGACCCTATATTGTTTATAAATATATTAAAAAGTAAGGATCCCAACACTGAACCTTGGGGTACACCACTGACAACCCTAGACCATTCAGAGTATGAATCACTAACCACTACTCTCTGAATACAATCTTTTAGCTAGTCTTCTATCCATTTACATACGGTTTTTCCAAGTCCGTAGACTTTACCTTACACATTAGCCGTGTGTGGGGAACTGTGTCAAACGCTTTTGCATAATCCAAGTATACCAAGTCCACCGCCACCCCTCTGTCCAAGTATACCACGTCCACCGCCACACCTCTGTGCAAGGTTTTGCTTGCCTCCTCATAAAAAGAAATCAGATTTGTTTGACAACTTCTGTCTTTCATGAATCCATGCTGTCTGTTGCTTAAAATATTTTTTTTTCCACCAAGAACTCATCTATGTGGTCTTTTATTAAACTCTCCAATATCTTCCAAACTATAGAAGATAAACTAACAGGTCTATAATTACTTGGTAAAGATTTTGACCCCTTTTTAAATATTGACACCACATTGGCCTTACGCCAATCCAGTGGTACTATGCCAGTTTTTAAAGAGTCCCTAAATATTAGAAACAATGGCTTTCAAAATGACAGAGCTCAATTCTTTAAGGACCCGTGGGTGTATGCCATCCAGTCCAGGTGCTTTATTCACCTTTATTCTGTCTAAATATTTTTGGATCATATCAGTTGTGAGCCAATGTGGATCATCTGGAGTTGTGTCAATACCATGGCCATTATGGAGAAGAGCTCCCCCATGCTCCTTTGTATACACAGAGCTGAAGAAGGTATTTAATAAATTTGCCTTCTCTTTGTCCCCAGTCACCCACTCTAGATTATTTTGTAAAGGGCCTACATGCTCGGACCGGACCTTTTTACTATTAATATATTTGAAGAATTTTTGGGGGTTGGTCCTGCTATCTTTTGCAATCTGATGTTCATTTTCAATTTTTGCAGCCTTTATTTCCTATTTGCATTTTCTGTTATATTCTTTGCAATGTTTAAGCGATGATAGTGTTCCTTCATTTTTATCTTTAATAAAAGCTCTTTTCTGAATGTCTATAGCTTTTATAACTTTGGCCATAACCCACATAGGTTTGATTTTTAGCCTTTTCAACTTGTTGCCCATGAAAATATATTTTGCAGTGTGTTCACATACAGTCTTTTTGAAGAACTCCCGTTTCTGTGTTGTGTTCATTGATGCCAATATTCCCTCCCAGTCTAAGTCTTGGAGAGCAGCTCTCAGCCTTGGAAAATTAGCTCTCTTAAAATTGAGTGTTTTTATTATATTTCCCGTATGTGCTTGCTCTTTACGGGTAACAATAAATGAAATCATGTTATTGTCACTGTTACCCAGATGTTCTTTTATATGGACATTCATAATAAGCTCTGCATAGTTTGAGATGACCAGGTCCAGCAGAGCATCATTCCTAGTTTGGGGCCTCTATGAACTGTACCATAAAATTGTCCTGTAGTAGGTTTAAAGATTTTCACTCTTTAACTGTTCCTGCAGTACCATTACTCCAGTCAGTTTTCGGATAGTTAAAATCCCCCATTATTATCACTGCCCCAGCCCTTGCAGCCCTTTCAATCTGTGCAAGGAACTGAGTCTCCACCTCCTCAAAAACACTGGGAGGCCTATAACAAACTTCAATGATTACCTTTGAAGTATGCCCCCCCTTGTGCAGTTCCACCCATAATGCTTCAGCCTCATCACACTCTCCATGAAACAGGTCCTCTTTCACACTCGCTTTGAGATCACTTCTCACATAGAGACAGACACCACCACCTTTCCTATTTACTCTGTCTCTCCGAAAGAGAACATAGACAGGAATATTAATGGCCCTATTTTGCTTGGCAGACTTCTGGCATTGGTGAACACACACTTTAATCATTGACACCTTGTTCACACGTATTTTGCTATGTTTTATTTTCATACAAATGGTACCAATTCCACTGGTTGTTTGTAACATGGGAACCTTCTTATCATCTGCCATAGCCCTCCCCCCCATCTTTCCCCATTCCACCCACCAGTAAGAACTGATCCTTCCCTCCCCCCTCGATCCTAGTTTAAATACTCCTCCAGCCTTCCCATAAACCTCTACCCCAGCACAGCAGACCCCCTTCCATTTAGGTGCATGTGTGTATGTGTATATAAAATATTGATGTCCCTGCATTTCTGACAGATAATGCACAACTTTGCCCAGATAATTGTTGCAATTACAAATGTTTACACATTCTCATGTTTATTTCTTATGTTTATATTGTTATCACACAAAAAGCTAAATCTGACACATTCCATGCATAACCCCAAAAAATGGACTGGACAAAATTATTGGCATCCTCAATTTAATATCTATTAATTGATTAATATTTAATATTTGGTGGCACACCCCTTGGAAAAAATAAGTGAAATCAATCATTTCCTGTAACCATCAATGAGTTTCTTCCACCTTTCTACTGGAATTTTGGACTACTCTTCTTTCGCCAACTGCTCCAGGTCTCTCAGATTGGAAGGGTTCCTTTTCCCAACTGCTGTTCTGAGATCTCTCCACAGGTGCTCTATGGGATTGAGACGT